CTCCCCATTCGCTTCCTTCCTCAGCTTCCCTCTCTAAATCCTGCTGGCCACTTTTGTTTTGATAGGACCGGGCTTGCCTGGTCCTCAGCAGAAGTCAAAGATGACAAGTTTGTAACAGCACACGCCTGCATGGAGACTTCTGTACTTCAAACGGGCATTGCTATGTCATATTTAACAATAAGGAGCAACATAATATTGATCTCGCTTGCCCAGAACTCCCAGTTATCCTGAGCAATTAAGGAACTTTTCACAGGCTCTTAATAATGAAGAAATGGAAAAGATGTACTAGATGAATGAATGTATCCTTGCAAAATCACAGGATCACGTGTCACAACGTAAGAAAGTAAGCATTTAGTGTATCATGCCATGCCCAATTTTATTGTAGAAAAAAATAGTTCAACTATAGCTAAAATACTAGGAATTTAAATAGGCACCTGATTCATCATCAAAAAGGATGGTCGGTCAAATTAAGGGAAAAGACTTTTCAGATGCTGCTTACATGTCTGATTTTCTATTTATTCTTCTGTTTACAATCATAACTGAATAGTCTCAGTAATTTTTCCTCTTTCATTATAGGTATGTGCAACAAAATTATAAAAAATAAAAAAATTATAATATACAAATGATAGTGCAGTGCAGGACTCGATGTGAGAAAAAAGGCGCTCCCCCATTTTTATCAAATCTTGTAGAAAGAGTAACTTTCAGCAACAGTAAGAAAGTTCAAATGAAAGTGAAAAATTTCAAACCATGTTAATTTAATGAGAAAACAAAATACACCAACTCCTGCCTGCTGCTCCTCCCTTCCTTCCTCTCCCCATCTCATAAAAGAGGATCCCAAAGAAGGATCATGTTTAAGATCCCAGTTCAGAAATCCTTTATCAACCCCTTAACACAGTAAGAATTTTGGACTACAGAGCCAGGTCCCAACAAACATCTAAACTGAACAACCCATCTCCTCCTGAAAGACCACATTACTCAGAAACAGACATAAAATTATAACCCTTGATATTCACAAACACGCATTTAATTGCATCTGTTTACATCCAGCATCCTACTCTTCATTATCATGTTTAATATCTGGGCTTTGTGCTAAGCAAAGGAAAATAAACATGTTTCTAACACAGACCATACAAAATGTACACAAAAAAAAAAAAGGGAAAGCCCTAGTATTTTTGCCTTACATGCCAGCTTCCAAAAAGCTGTATGTATCAAAGCTGTGTGCACAATTTTGAACATGCAAAAAAAAATGTAACTATCATCCATTTCTCTGATTTTCCAGAGGCTTGAGCTCTTAATTCTTAGCAATGAAAACCTTTTTTCATGAGCACCACAAAAGATTTCACTCACTTTGCCTCTCCCTCACTTTGCCTCTCTACTCTGTTTTACCCCTTAACAAATAGATCTTTTTCTAAAATTTAGCAAGAGCTATTCACAGGTAACTATGTGCACAATTCACATCATAAAAGAGAAGCAAGCTACATTATTCATTCCATGCTACCTATTAGAAGTCCAAATAACAATACGGAGCCAAATTCAGTAAGATGCACATTCCTTGGATTTAACAGAGTTACAAAGGACTAATATTGCCACTCTTCATTTTTTTTTGTAAAAGAAACACAGTGTAGTAGGCACATTGCTGCACTGGGCATGGCTTGTCTTTGAAAGATTAAATAGTTTTTAGGACTTGTAATTTTTATGTGACACTGAATGACTCAAACACATGACTTACAGCTATAAGCTGTATCAGAATTAAGCCCAAAAAGGACAAGAGTGTAAATGTTTGTACACATACACTATTTACCTTATACACACACAGATGCATATATATAATGGCTGACATGTTTCTACCTTAAATAATGCATCTAGCTCTGGGTACCTCATTACCAGAAGGGTAACAAGAACTTGAAGGTAGTTCAGAGAAGATCAATCAAAATGGTTACTGCTGAAGGAAGGACTTAAAAGGTAAAGTTAAAAACTCAATACTGCAGCCATTTCACAAATAGAATTCTCACTGGGTGAAGGGAAAGAAAAGTCCAAAGAAAAGCATCATCCACTAAAAATATATCAATATATACAACTAGCGAAGCACTGCCTTTAGAAAAACATGACTATAATCTGCAACAACCAAGGGAAAGAAAGCAAAATTACTTATTGCAAGCTCAAATGTCTAGGTATAATGAGCTTGAACTATTACAGGAATTTTGACTTGACATCCAGTAAGTTTTTGCTCATAGCAAGTTCTCATAAACTGGGCATAACCTCACCAAGAAAAGGTAAAATAAGGAAGTAAAAGTATTGTTGCAGGGTTCAAACTAGCTTTGACAGGACTTGAACAAAAGAAGATAGAAGCTTCTTTCCTCTGCTTAGACTGTTTGATTCTATAAAATGATACTAGTAGCTACAAACATTGCAGAACAAGTGAATGTACGCAACATTATGTGCACACATGTAAATAAATGATGAAGTGTTTTCAAAGCAGTTTCGAACAGGAATATTTTGTTTCAAGAGATAAATAAGCTCACATCTTTGCCTTGAAAAGACCTTTTCACGTGACTAAATTTTTCATATTAATGAACTAGTAGGAATAGTATCCAATTGCTGTTCAGACTCCAGACTCTTGTACAAGCAGAACTGTTAATAACATTACTGATTTAAAGACATTTTTATGCTCTGGCTGCTCCCGTTACCACTGGTCAGCCAGTCAGCTAACACAAAGCATTCTATATAGCAACATAAATTATCCAAAACGTACTCAAACTAAGTAGTTACTGCTTCTCCCCATTACATTTAAACAGAAAAATTCTACTTTTGACTGATGGGAAGAAGATTCGTATCACAATAAACTTTATGTATATCCTAGATTTCATCAGAAAGAAAAAGGTGAGAAACAGGTTTTTTTGTTGCTGTAAGAGCAATCCATTGCAGGATACTAATAAATTCATTCAGTAAGGTATCTAAGTAATACTCAGAGTGACCGAGGCACACAGTTTATGTGCAACGAAACATGCTATTTTTCACTGTGATACGTCTTAGAAATCTAAGGATATTGATAAATTGTAGATTATTGAAGTGTAAAAAAACATGTCTAATACTTCCTTCTTGTCCCTTCCTTTGGGGGGGACACAACTGAATAGCGACTTCCAAATTTACCACATACTTTGTTAGTATTTTCTGTTTACTTTCCATTATGGAACAGCACACCTTGTCTAGTATTACTTAAATGTATCACGTTATCATGCAGTTCAACACTTCTCTATTTCCACAGCTGTAAGAATATCTTTGTTTCCAAATGTGGGGGGTTTTTTATCACCACCACTGCTATCCTTCAAATGTTTGTCTTCTATTATTTGAGAAGCAAAAAGAATGACATGTATTAACACAAAATCAAATTAAGAAAAAGGGGTTTTATCTATAAAGCAAATTTACAGAAGTGTGAAGAGCAATTTCATGACTTTAAAAGGTACAAATAAGGGAAGAAAGGAGAAAAAAAAAGAGGAGGAAGAATGCTCCTTGTTTGATAAGTATTTCATTCATTCAGTTCTAAAAAGAAAAAGCAGCAGCAGCAAAGAGGAGGGCACCTCCTATGCCAGTACAAAGCAGGAAGTGTAAGAATTTAGTAAATTCACTATTGGATTCTACATTTTGAATGTAACTCCAAATGCAAACAGCTCATACTGACGCCCAGGCCCTCAGGCACAGGGTACATGTAAGACAGCAAGATCAGAAATCCACTCCAGCACCGCCAGGAGCAAGGCAACGCGCCACAGCAGCAGCGCTCTCAGGTTCAGTCACCTTTTTATTAAGCTAATGAGATATGTATTCTTTACAAAAGCCTGATGAAAGTTACCACAAAACATGGCCGGGCCACCAAATGGAACATTAAAAGGGCATCACTATATAATCACGGAACACCCCCCTGCCCCGTCATTGCAAACGTCATAGAAAATGGACAACCATTGTAAAAAGTCAAGATGCCTTTTTGCCTCCCTAACATGGCCCTTGCCAAAGCCAAAATGGTCTCTTTACCTGATACGGCTCTCCTGTTCCCTGACCACAGAGAAGATGGGTGAAATTCAAAATAGCGTTGCTGCAACTGGAGACTAACTCACGGAAGGGCCAGGGAAGGTCTACACATGCTCCTTCTTCAGAAACCACGCTACAGACCTTGGGAAAAGCTCCCTTAACTTCATCATTTTTTTATATATCTTGCATCTGAAACGCCTTTGCAGGAAGGCATTCATACCAGCCTCCACCTTCCCAGCACCAACGCTGTGCTTAAAAATAAAAACAAGGGCCACAGGCGCCTTCTCTCCCAAACAGCCTCACAGAGACCTCACAGAGACCCTGCTTTTGGTCCCATCCCTTAATTACTCCTCTCTTTTTTTTTTTTAAGTAAAGAATATTTAAAAATCCACCAAGCAAACCACATGCACGCTTCAGTGTATCACCACGGGGACGCTCGCAGGTCTGAATTACTGCAAAATAACGCTATAATTATGTCTTAATTTCACTAACTAATCTCAGATGAGCTCTTAAAATGCAATTCGAGGTTTACAAGAAAAGCGTTTAAAAACTGTATTCTAATGTTATCTGTATGAAACCCGATATTTATTTATTCCTTGCGAGCTTAATTTTAATCAGTTTCCAAGGAAAGGCATTATCTGCTCCTGATCAGTCCGGTGCCAAGCGATAATCCTTGTTAAAAGGAAAAAGTGTGGCATTTTAAAATAAATTAAAAGCACAGGAGAAGTTTCTAACCAAGGAGTAAGATACGAAGAAGCAACATTATCCAGCCACAGAAACTAAGCACAATCTAACGACCTTATTTACCGAAAGCGCGTACTCTGCCAACAAAAACACTACCTAAGGCAACTTTTTAGTTACAGCTGTACCTAAATAGCTAGGAAAAATAGGTTACTTCTCTTCACGTGAAACCAGAGTCCCACTAGAACTCAACCAAACGCGGCAAGGCGGAGATGGAAGACAAAAATGAGTCTTACTTGGTGTACAAAGACATCAACTGGAGACTCCAAGGGGCTTCCCTCTCGGTTGCTCATGGAGATGAACCCGAAGCCCATTCTCACATTGAACCATTTGCAATGGCCGGTTCCGTGCAAAACCTGGGATTCCTCCTCTTCTTCCTGCTCCGGCAACTTCCCGGGCTCGTCTCCACCTTTACTCGCCCCTGCTGAGGAAGAGGGAAAGGCGGGAGGGGGG